TAAGCTATCAAACACTGAACAACATAAAGTTAAAAAATAATATGAAAATTATGTTCCCTTGTATTACACTAGGTCTCTTTATCTAAAAGTAGTTCTAAGTCCCTTCTACTCTCCCCTACTAGAACCTGGCATCTTCCCTGTGCATCTTCAGCTTTTCCTACACTGCTTCCCCATTTTACCTACTCTAATTACTTACTCAGTGTTCTGAACAGCATTTTCCTGTCACATCCTGCCACCATTCCTTAAACAAACCCAAGGGAATCTGATCTTCCTGAGGCACTTATACAGACACACAGCAATGGCACCTGATTAAAGCGGTGGGCAACTAATGTGAGAGCAACACTGTCTGCGGTTACAGGCAGAACAGTATATGAGAAGAGCAGCAGAGCGCACACACACAAAGAAAACAGCAAGTCTGGCAAGCATCATGGATAGGCTAATATCCTTTAAACTATTTATTTTATAAATGCTATTCCTGCACAACCATATTATTCTCTTTGCTAGGAGCTCGACAGTTACAAAAATTGAGTAATTGTTAACAAGTTATTAACCCAGCATTATCGTATTTATGATCAGGAACCCAACCCAACAGTCACCTCCTAATATGGCTCTTAATTTCTTAAGAGTATATTTTCATTTTAAAAGTAATTATATATATATAGCAAAAAGTCATCACACACAGAGAAACAATTAAAAGCATTTCCAGCTTACCCAGACTATGATTAACTGGAGAGAGCGTACTAGGAGACAGCTCTGCTGGAGATCCTGTCGAAGCAATACAGATAGTTTCAGAGAAAATAATTTTCATTATTTCAGATGTCTAGGCATAATCATTATCTATATCAGTATAACACTGCGGTTTTTTTTAGTAAGAAACCACAGAAATCCTGCAATGAGGTTTCCCAAATATCAAACACTTATTCTGAATTAAGATTTCACTCCCATTTTTCAGACTTCTGGGAACCCACTCCTCCTCATAAAGATTCAATCATTAACTTAAGTGTTGTATTTGGCAGAGCAGTCACTTCATGTACACTCTGTGAACATTACTTATGCACTTCTCCAATGACAAGGTCTTCCCAAATTCAGTTAAAAAAAGCTATGAAATCTTGGATGAGACAAGCAAGATATTGCTTCTCTGTTCTCAGAAAAAGGTTTATCTTGGAAAAGAGAATGCTTACAGGTGACCTAATTGTGGCCTTCCAGAACCCGAAGGGACCCTACGAGGAAGATGAACTATTTACAAGAGCATGTAGTGACAGGACAAGGGGGAATGGCTTCAAACTGAAAGAGGAGAGATTTAGATTAGTTATAAGGAAAATATTCTTCCCCGTGAGGGTGGTGAGGCACTGGCACAGGTTGTTCACAGGAGATGTGGTCACCCCATCCCTGGAAGTGTTCGAGACCAGGTTGGACAGGGCCTGGAGCAACCTGGTCTAGTGTAAGGTGTCCCTGGCCATGGCAGAGAGGTGGAGCTAGATGAGCCTTAAGGTCCCTTCCATCCCAAATCATTCTATGGTTTTACGATTCTATGATCTCCAAAAAAGAACAAGCTAGACTTCCTCATTTGAGGAAATTGTTATTTCCCAGAAGGAGGGAAACTGAAAACCCTCCAACGCAATTTGCGCACTGGAAGGAAAAATCAGAATCACAGAACTTTAGGGGTTGG